GAAAAACCTTAACGGAAAAATAAACGCAACTTCTCTTCGAAATAATCGTGATAAGTCTAAAAAAAAAAAAGAGGAAAATTCGGTCATATGCAATTTCGAACTCTTGGACTTGAACCGTCCCCAGTTTGGTTGCGGATAAATCCACTACGATCATGTTCACCGAGTATCACGATTTCCACCCACTTCCGTACTTGTTCAGGTATCGTTTACCCACTGCATCATATCCAATTATCGGAGAAACCAGAGACCCCACGAAAAGTTTTTCATCCCCATTTTTCTGAGCTTTATTCACATCAATCTCTTCCGACCTGACCGATCGGAACAAACTCATTCCATTTCCTGGGGAAGGAACTGCGGAGTCATTGTCATGGCCTCGAACCAATAGGGGATCTGTTGATTTATATTCTTCTGATGTTTCAAACATCGTCCACAACGTATTTCTTCGATTGCGAAGCCGTGCTCCTGGCTCCAAATCGAGAAGCTATGCCTTTCCAATCAGGAAAATACGCATTCTGCTCTAGAACAGACGTCTAAGGTGGCCAAAAATGGACTTGACTCGAATCATATAGCGCCATCTTTCGATTTGCAATAGGCGAGGCTTCAAGGCTCTCTCACATTTCTTTTTGACAATTGATAAAATAGTTGTTTTTTCCCGAGAAAATGGCCCAAACCCGTTATTCGATCGAACAGCGCGTTTTCACGGCTGAAAATTATCGGTACCATTATAAATCGTCCGATACAAAGAGGCTCATCAAACCCGAGATGCTCCATCTATGCAAACAATAATCTTGACAGCGTAGAAATTTCATGAGAACGGGAGAGTTTTGGATGGATTGCGTGGAAACGTCGATAAACCAACCACTGTCTCAACGGAACAAAATCTCGAAACTGTCTGAGAGTACTTCGCGGAGAACTCAACTCAATCGCAGCGGAGAGCGTCGGCGGAGCTCGGGACTCCCAGGTCGTCTCTAAGGAATTTCAGGAAGAAGGGACTTGACATTTTCCCCGAAAAAATTACTCCAACTCGGTCAGCCGATGACAATAAGGAGGCTCGACTAGAGTTAACTGAAGAAATGCTGGAAAGAATGGATCATGAATCTCCTAGGAAAACGTTCTCTGACGAAGCCCATTTTCAGCTCGGTGGGTTCGTAAATGAACAAAATGATACATTTTTGGGGTATAACTAATCCTTACATAATTTTTGAAGGTCCTCTGCATCTGAAGAGAACAACAGTGTGGGTGGCAATCAGGGACGTAGCCAGGGGGGGGGGGGGGGGGGGCCTGGGGGTCTGAACAACACCCGAAATGAAGCAAGGAGTATGGGAGTGGAGGGGTGTATCTGTGAAAAGTTCCATATAAATTTATACAACTAAAGTTTCGACTCGTACTCCTATTCCAACGTCTGAATAAAATCACTCAATATGAAGTTGGTGGGGCTGAAGTAACAAAAGGGTTTTCAAAGTTTTCTCATTCCTCCAAACCACCCACCTTCCTCGGCCACTTCGTCATCTCATGAGCCTGAAAGAGCCTCACAAGAAACCCCCCGAAAGTAATTCCTGGCTACGTCCCTGGTGGCCATATGTGCTCATGGGATGATCTTATTTCTTCCATGCAACTGTCAACGGCGAGGCGTACGCTCAAATGCTCTCGGTTTATTTATTATTCGAAGCCCAAGAGAAATATGCCATCAATGAATTTTGGTTCATGCAAGATGGAGCTACCACACATTGAAAGTCCTTGAATTTGAATTGCTCAACCAGGCTTTCCAGAATCGAATTATCGGCCTCGGGTATCAGCGCCGCTATGGAAAAGGATTCGACTGGCCAGTCCACTCATTTTACTTAAATCCCTGTCATTTCTATATTTGGGGACACCTTGAAGACAGAGTTTATCGGAGCAACCCATGAAATATCCCAGAAATAGAAGCCACGATTGAAACTGAGCTCAAATCTGAGTTCAAAGAACTGACACGCTGAAATCGGCAATTTTCAAAATTAAAAAGGCTCGAATTGGTCGTCGAAATGGAAGGCGGGCATACTGAAAGCTGTCATATAAGCCCACATAGAGTCTACTTACATATATGATTAGAGTTGCCAAACTCGGTCTATTCGCTAACATTTTATATCGGAAAATCCGAGTCAAATCCATTTTGGCCACCCTGTATCTCTGACATAACCACTCGATTCCAATCACTTCTAGCGGCTGATTCATTTTTTCGATGAGAGTCTATTCTATGAGAGCACGGATGCACAACGAGCTTCTGAAAGACCTGCTTCGCATCGCCCAGCTTTGCTTCTGATTCAGATTGATTCAGACGAATCAAATGACGACAGTTTTGATTAGGGGGATTTTTCTTCATCGCTTAATGTAAACATGAATGCGATGAAATACGGCGCCGATGGGCCTGACGGATGTTACAAGACGCGACGCCGACAGGGTTCACAAGTCAAGACGGCCATGAAAAAGGCTTCGGCTCAGGGTCTACCGTTCCATTGGTGCGGCATTCGACACAGAAGGGAACCAAGAGAGGGAAGAAAAATGCATAGAGAACTCCTGAACAGTCTTTCTTCCCTTGTTTCGGATTTTGTTCTGAAACATTCACCTGACTCTATGCCTATGGTTTGCAGCGTGCAACTTCTGGAATGGCTATCTCTGCCCTGTCTGTAAAGGGCCTTCCCTTCAAGCCACCCATATTTTCCCTCTTCACATACAATGGGAAAGTTCAGCTGACTCAATTTGCATCATAAGGGAATAATGGCACAGACAAACCTACAAATTCATATCTCCCCTTGAAACTGCATGGGCTTACAAAGGATAACCGGTTGCATTGCATTCATCCATGGAGTCAGCATGGTTAACACAATGAAGATTCTGGATATCAAGGACCAACATTGTTCAATACATGAAGGGCAACTAATGCACAGCTTCTTCAGCCCATGATGGAGCTCTGCATCAGTTCCAGTTCCAATCCAAAGTTACTTGAAGTAATTTAAATTTATTTATGTATTGTAATGGATACAATATCTAGTAAATTTCTAAGACATAGTCTCACATTTAATGCATTGTGTTCTAGTTATTTTTCAAGTAAAGACCAGTCTGCAGTAATGAAAAACTAAAATACACAGTAAATGCTGATCACTTCTTAATATCATGGTGATGTTATCACCATGATAGCAAGTCCCCACAACCATTAATGCAAATGACATCCAATAATCCAAAAGTGGTGTCATGATGCAACATGGCATATTTGATAACACCACTACACAATAAAGAATCACTTTCTTTTCATTCTTGTTCCATTTTGACTTTGCTTGTGAAATTTTTTAGTCCTTGTACCTAGTTATGATTCAAAGGATGAACACTGAAGTCCTCTGGAAAAGGACCTTGGAATAGTCTTAGAATCTACAGAATGGTAAGAAAAAAAATCCAAGTAAAGAGTCTAATTAAAATTTTCATGTCAAATAAACATTAACATGTTAACATCTTTACATTCAACATTAGCTGATGACCCAGAAGTCTAAAAGACATCAAATAGGTTTATGCACATTACTAAAGCCATGTTTGTCACGGGACTGGAAATACAATGATTCCGTTCGGATTAGCATACCCTCTATCATAAGGAGACACCCATAAATATGACAATTCAATAGAGGAAGGAACTGAGAGGAGGCATACTATATGCTTATCAGTGGCCCAAGTCCTTGACCATAAATCTGGAAATTGAACAAACAGGCATGAAGACTCCCTAGAAAATACCACCAATAGGTGCAATTTTGGATTTGGATTGAAGTACATGAGCAAGTCACGGTGGTGTCTTACTTATTATTTAAGCAAATAACAATTGCCTTTTCTTCCTTTTTTTTAAATGAAAACTTCACTCAATCCTGCCCACTCCCAGGGATGAGGAGCCTTTTATGGCAAAATTTTGCATTATTACCTGCCTTTGATTCAGAATAAATGCTCAAGTAAACTTTTGCATCCCCTTCTTTTCTAAGTTCTGGTAAAGCAATGTAATGGGGGCAAAGCACAAGGTTCCATTCCACAGTCATTGGTTCACTTGCAAAAAATAATATTGAGAATCATGAGCTTCACAAACAAAAGGGAACATAATGCATCCCTCTTTCAAAGGTGGATATAACCTATACTGAAATTTAAAACATTTGGCTTGGTATTTTTTTTTTAAAGCAAGGAGATTAGTAAGCATTTTGGCACACATTAATATTCATAATGATTTCACAAACAATCAGCCAAATTTGACACTCAAAGAAATGTATACCAATCTCAATCAAAGTAATACCTGGAATAAATCAGTCCACAATCGAGGAAATAAGTTCCACAACTATATTCCCATCGATTTTTCCATAGTAAACCATGAATAAAAAAATCCAAAAGAAAACTGCCAAAATATTTTTTTGAACAATTGGATGTGGGTAGGCCCACTCGCATTGTCAAAGGCATACCTTTTTCAGAATCCGTATAGAGCTGATGACACTCCTTGAGGATTTTCTCATTCAGGGATGTGGTCGATGTCTCAATGGTATTAGCTGCTGCCTTCTGCTTCACTTTTCCTATAAATGCAATCGCCATAGAAGCAACAGGTTTTTGAGTGTATGTCTAGTTCTGTGCTCATTATGTCGTAGTCGTAAATAATTTGTGGTTGGCTCATGCCGAGCTACAAGGGGCTCACCCATGCTGAGATGTCGTAATTGAGGTATTTCGATAAGGGGTGCAGGGCTACGAAATTTCAGTTTGATTGTTGACCGGGAGAAGGTGGCATGGGGAGCGCCATAACTCCTCGTTGGCGAATTTGAAACGGTTGCCAGATAAGGCATTATCCTTCCTTCTGAATTCTCATTCTGAATGAAATCGTACCTAAAATATTCAGTAGAAACAAATTCATGACTAAATTTTCTTACTGAAGGCTATTAGTGTAGGAATGACAATATCATGGGGACCTTGTGGAAACTCCCCGATGAGTCACTCCGTCATATCATTGGAAACATGGCCCCAATGACTGGCTGGGAGCATGGCTGGGAGGGGTGGCCTTGATATCTACGAATTCTCTTGTTCTTCATTCAAGTCTGAGTCATTCATGATTGTGAAGTTCCACGATAAGGGTGAGATATCTTTCAATTTCTCTCCGTCTGGATTTGTCATTTCTTGGGGTCAAATTTGTTTCCACCTCAAAAATTGCCTAGTTCGATATAACGTAAGTACGCGAAAGTCGATCCGTGCACGAATTTGGACGGAATTCCGGTTCACTTCACGGAGCTCGCCATTATAATGTCATACTGCCCTCTGTGTCTTCGTCGTCGAATCCGTGTTTTAAGCGAAGCTTAAAATGTGTCTCACAAAGAATACATCGTTGTTAAATCCGTATAGTCAACCGGAAACGAGCTCCTTAAGTTACATCGTTCTTACTTTAAGTGAGGCACGCTGAGATCATGGTTACGAATGTCCCTGGTATACATTATGTTGTGGTACTTACTGGTGGCTCTAAGCGTCGATGGTCGTAAATATGGTGTTCTAAGGTAGCTGAAGAGTATGCTGTAAGAAATGATTACATCATTATGTTCTCGGGATTCGATATTTTAGAGGGTCGGTTTTCTGGACCGAATCGCGGTGAGGGTCTCTGAAAGTCGATCCCTAGCCGTAGGCATAGGCAAGTGAAGCACACGCATAAGGCCGGGAATTCTGCATTCAAATTTACAACGGCACGTCTCTGGTGGTGCTAATGGTACATCCATCTTTCCACGGTCAGCCTAAGATTTATATCAAAGGCCATGGATATTCTTATCAAGTTTGACTGCCAAGCAATATCCAGCTAGTCCCCTCTTCGAATCTCCCTCCTGGAGATACCTCTCAGGCAACTATGCTGGGAAAATAGTCTGTCCAAAATCGGTCGTTCCTGCCTCTGCAAGCCAACACGGCGAGCAGCATGCGCGTAGAGGCATGGAGGCTTGCTAAAGCCTTCACGCCGGGTGGTGGATGCGTAGTGAGGCTAGGAAGCACATCACAGGCCCGACTTTGAGGAACCGCAGGGTCGGCTCTCGCGCCATTGGTTCGATTCATGCGTCCAGATATACTATTGCATTTCAATGCTTCTCGTGATATCGTTACTAATGATTCAAAGGCTTTCAAGCTGATATTGTAGATCACAATCCAACTTTTACAGATATAACACACTCACAACCCTGCGTGAAGCATTCGTTCATTATGGAGCTTCTCTTGTGCAGCACGTCATTGTACTAAGGAAACAGGCTCGACTTTCGCGTATTTACTATATATGTATATATACATTTTGCTACCTCATTGACCACCTTCTCAGTTACAAGCAAGCTCTGCAGCTATTCAGTGGATATTTAAGAAATTACAGTTACCTCCTAGTGTAAATCAGCAGGTGAAATCTACAGGCAAATGCAATGAGCCACTTCACTTCTGTTGCATAGTCTGAACATATTGGCAAATCATGCAGGCTAGGTTAATGCTAGGCCTAGTTGGAGACTGATTAATTAAGCTCACCTATAATGATCATGGGTAAAACACAGGTGACTGATGGCAAGTCAGAAAGAGCAACCGAGCAATTTGTGGAATTCAATCCTTGAGGATGTGAGAAGGCAGGAGAGGACCAACCTATCCAGCAGCAAGAAAGTGTTGATACTTGGAGATCAAGAGAGTGGAAAAGCAACATTAGTTGCCAAGCTGCAAGGGAATGAAGACCCCAAGAAGGGATGTGGCCTGGAGTACTCCTTCATCACAGTTCGAGATGAATATCGAGATGAACACACTCGGTTGAGTGTATGGGTTATGGATGGAGATCCTGCTTTTGTGCCACTCCTGCGGTTTGCACTCTCAAAGGAAACCTTTCAAGTAAGCTAGAATTAATTGTGATGAAAAATTGTTCATGATAGATTTGAAATCAATCATAAATCTCTCAACCATGATTATTCATTGAGAATTAATTTCTTTCTTAAAAATCCCAATCTATTGGTCAAAGTCAAAGGCTTGCTAAGCACTTGGGTGTACACAGACATTCAACTCATAAACTCAAGAATTAGTAGAACGGGATTGTTTCTCCAACAATTATCGAAAATGAAGCAATTTTTGCAGGTTTAAATGCTGTTAACAATTATGGGAGTTAACGTAAGTATGCGAAAGTCAACCCGTGCACGAAATTGGACGGAATTCCGGTTCACTTCACGGACCTCTCCATTATAATGACATGCTGCCCTCTGTGTCTTCATCTTCGAATCCATGTTTTAAGCGAAGCTTAAAATGTGTCTCAAAGAGAATGCATCGTTGTTAATCCTTATAGTCAACCAGAAACTAGCTCCTTAAATTACATCATTCTTACTTTAAGTGAGGCACGCTGAGATCATGGTTACAAATGTCCCTGGTATATATTATGTTGTGGTACTTACTGGTGGCTCTAAGCATTGATGGTCGTAAATATAGTGTTCTAAGGTAACTGAAGAGTATGCTGTAAGAAATGGTTACATCATTATGTTCTTCGAATTCGATATTTTAGGGGGTCGGTTTTCTGGACCAAATCGCGGTGAGGGTCTCTGAAAGTCGATCCCTAGTCATAGGCATAGGCAAGTGAAGCACATGCCTAAGGTCGGGAATTCTGCATTCATATGTACAACGCCACTTCTCTGGTTGTGCTAACCGTACATGTATCTTTCCATGGTCAGCCTAATATCTATATCAAAGGCCATGGATATTCTTATCAAGTTTGACTGTCAAGCAATATCCAGCTAATCCCCTCTTTGAACCTCCCTCCTGGAGGTACCTCTCAGGCAATTATGCTGGGAATATGCAGTCTGTCCAAAATCGGTCGTTCCGGGCTCTGCAAGCCAACACGGCGAGCAGTGTGTACGTATAGAGGCTTGCTAAGACCTTCACGCTGGGTGGTGGATGCTTAGTGAGGCTAGGAAGCATGATCACAGGCCCGACTTTGAGGAACCGCAGGGTCGGCTTTCACGCCGTTGGTTCGATTCATGCATCCAAATATATTATTGCATTTCAATGCTTCTTGCGATATCATTACTAATGATGCAAAGGCTTTCAAGCTGAAATTGTAGATCAAAATCCATCTTTTACAGATAATCACACTCATGACCCTGCGTAAAGCATTCGTTCAGTATAGAGCCTCCTTTGTGCAGCACGTCATTGTACTAAGGAAACGGGCTTGACTTTCGCGTAATTACTATACATCCAGTACAGGGGGTCATATTGAGTCACTTCACTTTGAATTGTGTATGAATATTGATAAATTATTACAATAAGCCCAATCTTGGCATGAATATAAATTTGCAATTCTCCAGATTCAGGATACCTATAAAGGATATTTTATAACAATGTAAGATTATTGAATCTAGGGAATTTTTAATCAGTTCATGTAAAGTGAGATCAGGATATAATGAAAATATCCCCTTCTCTGGCAAGCCATGCACTGATATGGTGATATTGATACTTTTTTTTTCTCAACCTGCTGAGTGAGCTGAAAACAATACCTCACTTGTGGATATCAGCTTACTATTGAGCTGCATGCTGCCTCACCTTGCACACCCATTCTTGGTTCTCAGTTGCATCATGCAATGTTGGAAGATTTAGTAGATGAAAAATCATGAAAACATGTGCTTTAATGATTATCTTGTCGGATATTCCATGCATTTAAGTCTTTTGGAGAGGTAATGACAGTCACTAGGAAATGTGAGGCTATTGAATAAAAAAGAAGCAGAAGAATGATGAGACAGTACATGGAATTAACATTCCCTTCTTCCTTTATCTTTTAAGCATGTGATTTATGCCTTGTTATACTTGCTCCATCCTGTATTTGTCACATGGAGACTGCTGAATCTGGATGGGAAGAAGACATAGTTTCTTATCACTCCATGTCTGAATGAGTAAATTTTGAGTGGGAGCATCGTGTTGATACAGTTAGGATTCATTTAGCATTATGATCATGATATGATGACAACTCCTGACATGCAGTTATACAGACCTGCTGGGTGATTTATTTCATCCTTTCCATTTCTTTTTCACTGTATTTTACATTTTGATATTTTTTACTTTGATTGGAATATATGATGGATTTAAATCTTCATTCTCATTTAGGACACATTGGTGATAATAACAGTATCTATGGCCACACCTTGGACCATCATGGACTCCCTGAGGCAGTGGGTGTCCCTTCTTCAAGACCATGTTGATGCACTTCCTTTCACAGCCGAGGAGGTAGACATGAATTACTCCTATGTTCAATGCATTTAGTACACTGCTCTGAATAATTAGGAAGGGAGCCAGGTAGAGGTACATGTCCCATATGTTTGGCAATTCTTTAATAAGTTATTAATTCTGTACATATTGGTAGTGAATAATTTAAATATTTAATTTATGCAGAATGGTAAAGAGTTTTTACCTTTTTTATCTTTACAAATCTCACTTATACAAGATGATTGCAAATGGAGTAGTAGGTGAGAGATGACATACTCGTTCACTCATACCAGTTGGGAATCATGAATCTGTTGAATTTATGGGACCTTCAAGGACCTGAAGGAGTCAAAGGAAAGATGGTTTGTTTTGACTCCAAAGCCAATAATATAATAAAACAGGACCAATAACAGAAGTATAATAAGCAAATCTGAATTAACTTTACATAAACTGCATTTTATGTAAAGTATCAAAAATTGTTGACTGAAGAAGGGGAAGAGGGGTGAGAATGTGTGGCAAACAACAGCTGTCCTATACATAGATTCTCCTTGCACAAAACTCATCCCTATCTGTCTCTTTGCATCCCACTTGTCTGATGGTCTCTTAGAGCCAAAGCTCTTTATCTCCCTCCCTCTTGGCCAATTATTTCTTAACTGGTATAAATTTCTCCTCCATCTGCTACATTGCCATGAGTGGTGGGCTGAAGGCTAAGCTTGTCTCATAGCAGAAAGTATGTATAATCTTGCTGTATGTGACACCAAACTGGAAATTGGCAAAATAAAACCAAATGAGCAAAAACAAGTACCTTCTTATTCTGATTTCTTTCTTTGACTCTAAGAGATAAATAACTTCAAGGGTAGGAAGCAGTAGATGGGGGGAATACCCTATTTTAAATAGTTAAACAATATAATTGAAATATTTTTCATCCTAGAGTTGAAGTATTTGGTAGTTATGGGTTAACGGGGGGCATGAATTTTTTGGCTTAACTTTACAATTACTCCCACACCCTTAAGACAAGATGAATGATAGAGCCATGTATATATTAATATGGATAGACTAGCACCTAATTTTTATAAGCGGCGCATATCATGTCACGACCTCTCAGACTGACCCGAGTCACGTTGTTTGGGTCGGGTTTTCTTATGCACTTCTGGCCTAGTCTTCCTCGTTCTGGTGAGACCCATCAGTGCACCAGCAAGGTTCATGGACCTCAATGATTCCTTTCCCAGTTCAGTGTCAAAGGCCAAAGAGAGAGAAAGTCAACCTATTTTGGAGGATGATAGGTCAGTTGGGTAGAAAAAGGTTGCAGCCAAAGGCCATGATTATTTTCTAACCCAGCTGACCCATCATTATCCAAAATAGGTTTTTTCAAGATTCGAGATAAGTTGACTTTCTCTCTCTTTCAGCCCAACATAGAAGGAATGCTGCTCCTGGGGTTTGTGTTTATCACTAGTTCTCTGAGGTTAGAGTGCGCTTGGGTTTAGTGAAAACCCACGAAAGCTTTTGGAACAAAAAAATCCATGCTAACCCTTCCTTCCATCCTTGTTAACCCACAAGTACCAAGTATTTTTATTTTAGCAGACTTTCTTGACAAAATTCCATTAAATGGATTGTGCTTCTTTTAATATTGCTTGATTCATTTCCTAACATAGGTGAAGAGCTTCCAACAGAAGCAGCTTTGGAAATGGGCTACTTATGTTGAACCTGGTGATGACAATGACAGCAGCCCGACCCAAGCAACCCATCGACAGCTATCATCTGAAGACGACCTTGATCTGGACCTCACTGTATCTGATGGAGTCTTGACTCGAAATGTGGGACTTGATCTTGTCGTGGTAGTGACCAAAACAGATGAGATAAACACATTGGAACGTGAATATGACTATAAGGAAGAACACTTTGAGTTCATCCAGCAAGCTGTGCGCAAGTTTTGCCTCCAGTTTGGTACCACTGTCTTCTACACCTCTGTCAAAGAGGACAAGAACTGTGATCTGCTCTACAAGTATCTAGTCCATCGAATCTATGGTCTCCCGTTTCAAACGCCTGCATTGGTGGTGGAACGTGATGCCCTATTCATCCCTGCTGGTTGGGACAATCTGAAGAAGATAGCAATCCTTTATGAAAATCTGCATTCCATGGATCCAGATGCAGACTATACTGATGTGATTCGTCTTCCTGGAAAGAGACAGTCTTCACGGGAGGTAGAAGTGAAGGCACAGGATCCACAAACCTTCTTGGCTGACCAGCTGAAACTCCTGGAATCTACCACACCAGCAAGTGACAAGGTCCGTGGAGGTTCCCTCCAACTCTTGGAGGCTGTGCCACGGATACCTGTCTCCCCAAAACACAACACAAACATGAATAACATGGCTGTAGGAGACTTCTTCAAACGCCTGCTTGAACGAAACAGTTCAGCAAAACGATCTGACATTGCACCTAATGATTTACCATCTAATTAACAGCTGCAAGGCTGATTGGCTCAATGGAAATTTAATGTGCCAAAGGCCTATGTTTGCCAGGTCCTATGCAGGATGCATTTACTCATCGAAAAGCAGATTGAGGGCTGAAATTGCATTTTTGATATATCCATGGTGGCTTAATTCTGGTCTATACAATTAGAGATATCCATTTCATATCTATTGAGAGATTTATTGAATATATTTAATACTGTAGCTTGTATTTATGTATGCATGCTCATGATGGCTATTGGTGCTTCAGAATGCATTGCAAATTCACCTTCAGCCTCTGCAGAAATAGAAAGCTGTCTATTCTCAATAGTTGTGTCATCATGTCGGTAAAGTGCAGTATATGAGCTTCAATGGAGGGCTCTTTCAAAATTGATCATTTAAATGCACATTTGAAGTATATGGTTTACTGGTAACCATTCTGTTTTTCCCAAGACAAATGTAGGTATGACTGCTGCAATGCTAAGAATTGTAGAATTCAATTCTAAGAAATCGAATTGCAAGTCAGTATGGTCATACTGAGATTCAACATTGGTTATCTCTTGTGCTGTCTGAGATTGATCTGACCAAGACTTTAAATTAGGCTTTTAGTACTTAACTCATTAAATGCTGTACAGGATGCCGGCGGGTCATGTGATCTTGTATTCGTTGGGCCATAAATAGGTTGTAGTAGTTGGTGTGTTAAAAACCTGCAAACTGTGCTGCCCATCCACTTTACTCAGGATGAATTTCAACCACATGTAGTCTCATTGTGCATATTCTGCAACTTCATGTTGAAGTGCATGAAGCTTTGAATGTAGCATCATCTATTGATCATACTAACACCTCTCATTGTGAAGCTTCATTCATATCATTTTTGTGTTTCTCTCACTTCTTTCTGTTTATGATGTTGCATGGTGCTTCCCCCCGAAAGGCCTTGAAGTTAAAAAGCATTTCCCTTGATCTTAGACTGCAGGTGTGATGTGTGTGAGGCTGGGTTCACACCTATTCATTTTTTTGCAAAATGAAACTAAGAAAGCAAGAGATCACATTTGTCAAATCTGCTGTGGCATGCTTTTACTTGCCGTCTCCCTTGAGGCATGTTCTTCCTTAGCCATTACAAATTTTTTAAAGTCCAGTCTGTCCCTTTTTGAACTTCGTACTCTTCCGTTTTCTGAATGCTAGTGAATTCCTCACAGTAGAAAAGTAACAGGAAAGCCACAGAAAACAAATGTTGACCATTCTGGTATATTTTTAAATTTCAAATAAACGTTGTTCCAAGGGTCATTTAGGTATCAGCCTTATCTGTTACAGAATGTGCATGGGAGTTATAAGTCTATAAGTAATGCTTCTTCCTTTTTGCGGGTGAGATATATTTTGTTTGTGAGAAAAATCAGGTTTTGGAAAATTGCAATGCAGCTTTGCGAGAAACTACTTGGTCTCCGCAGCCCCATGACTTAACCAGCACAAACTTGATACTTTATGCTCACCACATCCCATTCATTCATTCCCTGACATTAAGAATATGATAAGTGAGTGGTCTTTTCAATGACAGAACAGGTTCTTGCATATGGCATAAAAACTTGGTATTACAAAATTTAAACAAATCTGGTTGTGCCTTGTATAACGCTAAAAGCAAGTGTGAATCCAACCTTTGGTCTGCTAGATTTGAATCCAGTCTGATTTCTCATAAAGAGTCGCTAGCTACTCTGAGTTATACTCTGTATAGGCTGTTGTTATTGTAAGGCTTTCATGTCATGAGTGTGTTGCACTTCTTCGCATTTGAATATCTTTATTATAAAGTTATTGCTGGCAGCTAGAGAACGAGTGGCGAATCCATGGCTTTGCTGGCCAAAGCGATTTTTCGGATTTCTGTAGAGTTAAGCCAAAAAATATGCCTGTCATCATGCATTCATTATCAGCATTGCATTGAATGTGCACAGGTCCTTCTCGATTGCGTCTGTGAAAATGCTGGAACCGAGTTGCCAATTTTTAAATCAAAGTTCGACTTTTTTGTGTTCCTCTTGCCCCTAGACTTAGGTGCTATGCAGCACCCGTTTTATATTCTAGAATGCTCCCAAAGACTTATAATAGCTAATATATTGTTTCCTTTTTATTTGCCTGAAACTGGAATAAACATTTGTTTTTCCTCCATCATTGTGATTCACTTCACCACATCATTTGTCTGTTCTTAAAACCCACGTCGGGGCACGCGGAAGGGAAAAGAAAAAGCCCTTTATCAAAGAATCATTCGCATAGACGCGAAAGCGGTCAAGGTCTAGGAATGCATTTAGAAAAGGGGAGGGGGAAAAAGTGGAGAGGCCTACGCGAGAAATCACTGCATGCACGTTCACACTCTGACTCCTTTCATAAAGGACTACCTGTCACGGATGCCAGATCCCCATTCCTTTAGACATTTGCATCTATTCACTCGGGGAGAAATCGGAATTTCGCCAAGACATTCTGCGTAGAAGCAATCCGGAAGAATTTATTTAGAAAGCGAGAGGCAATGGACTCTCGACAACACAACAGTAGATGCCTGAACGAACCGTGGTATCTCGATCCAAAGTGATTTTCATGGTCGTGTCCCGCGGGTTATTGTTAAGGGACACCGCGAAAATCAATCGGCAAAAATGCCGTCTCAGGCTTTCATGATCTACGGTCGTGGTCGTCCGTCTTCCACATTTTCTGAGACGGAATCGCCGAGGCCTCTCGTCGACGACATGACAGCATTCCTCATCGTTTCCTCTCATCGCGACACCGAATCCACGCGGGTCCGAACAGGGGAGGGATCTGACAACCGTGTTCCCAAATAGGCATCGTCCGATGGATGAATAGGGAGGGAAGGCGCATGCGACGCAACGGGCAGGGACGGACTAAAAAATAAAAAAAAAGGTCCCTCTTCTCCTCCGGAGAATCTGCGGCGTGGAAAGCGAGTTGAGTGCAGACGAGATGAGGGAGGACACCATCCACACTCTTTAGATGAAAGCGGACACCGTCCACACTTCCGCCTGATTCTTTCATCGGGTCAGTCCGTTTTCAATTGTTTTTCCGCACGATATATTCGGCACATGTTGCGACTTTTCTGTTTATGTCCTGTTTATGCCCCGAGGCGAATTATGTATTTGTTTCTCTCGTTCGAGTGCAAGCCGCTCGCGAAATTCCTTTGTCACCTCTTGATGCAGCCACCGATCGCACGCCGCGAGGAAGACAGTAATGAAAACGAATTCTAGGGGGGTTTGTCGTAGATTCTTGGATACTTTTCGGAATTCGCCATCGCCGGGGAATTGAGAAATGGCTTTGAAAATTGAAAGGAAATAGAAGAAAAAGCGATGACTTTTCGGCAAAAGACCGAGAACGGCCAGACTCTCAGGTCACACCATCCTGAAGCCGTCGAATCGGAGAAAAATATCGCGAAAAATTGCACGAACTACGAAAAACGATCAAAGTGGAAGATCACGACAGATTTTCCCGGATGCTCGATGCGCCGAACTTACTCGGCTTATCCGGCTTACTCGCACATTCTTGTTCTTGGGGCATTCTTGCGCCTTCCGCTACTCATGAGGCCGTTCGAAGCGAACTTCTTCAAGTGCCTCCATGATATCTACAACTGAATGGAAGAAGGGAACGCCTAAGGCGATGGTTTCGAATCCAACAACCGTAGTAGCATAAGTCAGTCCGTGCCTGAGAAAGCCTCCCACGTTTTCTTTTGCAAAGATTTTTTACATTTACCGTATAGTGAGCCGTTTATTATATGTGCAATAAGTGTACTAACGGGAGCTTATTTTCCGAAATAAAGGATTTGAAGGAAAAAAATTCAATGATTTGCGTTTGCTAGATCTAACGTTATGGGAATGAAGAAGTGAAGAAAAGCATGCAAAGAAATGACAAAAGATGTAAGACGAATCCAGGCAAAGCGGAGTCCTGTCACCATGAGAAATCATGGCGAACGACACGGCGAAAGAAAGGAGGCGGAGAATCGAATATGCCCAGAGGCGGAGAATTGAATACGCCTGGACTGGACGCTCGTGAGGATGGCTGCAGTCGTTCTTTCACCGCCGCTCGCTCCTCTCCGTACTGCTCTACCTCGATTTAAAGAGTTTGCCTATTTTCATTGTATCATATTAAATTTGTTGGTAAGGAAAATTTGTCGAGTTCAGCACGATTCAAACTTCATCTTTCGATGAAGTTTGAAGAGTTGGAAAAAAAAAAAGAGAATAGGGCTAACGCAGCAACAAAGGGATTGGGCGATTAAAATGCTCCAAGAGAGTGTAACGCAAGAGGAAGTCGCGCGGCGATTCGAATGTGTTCGTGTGGCCTATACCAGGTTTAATCAGCGCTTCATCATCTTCATCAAAACTGGCAGAACACTTGACTTTGAGAATCGCTACATCCCTCAAGGTCAAGTATCCTGCCAGTTCGTTCTAAGAGGGTACAAGTAGGCGTAACATCTGTTGCGTTACACCCCCTTGGAGCATTTTTAATCATCCGGTCCCTTTCTTGCAGCGTAGGCCTTGGCGTATCTCTGATGTTTTTCGGAGACGGTATGACATGCACAGCGGAATCAACCCAAGTTTTTACCTTTGGATATCTGGACTTAACATATGGCTTGGAAAGGCGTAGCGTGGAGTGCGCCTTTGACATGCTTCGTTCGAAGTCGGGTGTTTCAATGCTACCATCAGATGCATCCAGATAGAAAAAACTCCCGGAATTGTTGCTTTTTATGTATTGTGCAATTTTTTCGGGTTGCGTGAGGGAGCAATGCCAGTTGTTAACCCAAAAGCCTCGAGGAAGATGAAACGTCCCCGGCTGGATGATATAATCGGCAAGACGAATAGATCTGCATCTAGACCCGGCACGGCAGTGCAGTCCGTGGTGCACTCTGTGTCAATATTTCCTAAAGACACATGGTAAACTGGATTGGCAATATGCCGAAGTACATATTGATCCTAAAAATCTGAAGTAAATTTCCTAGCATAAAGCATGAGGTACATGTTGAACAAAACAAATCGAGAATTCTCATCGGATTTTTTTTTCTTCATTTTTTTGCTATCAGCGACCCAAACCAAATCCACGTTGTCCCGATTATTATGATGCTGTAAATCGTTTGGTATTTCTCAACGCACTGCCCTTGTTTTATGTTATCCTGGACTTCTTCCTTCTTCATCTTGACGACGGACAGACCTTTTCTCGCCAAGCTTGCCTACTCAACCGATGATGCAGCGTTGAAGCATATATAAACATAGCGCAGCCCCCATCTTAGGTAATATATTAATACATGCTTCCAACGCGATGAACCTCGCAACCTCACCGATGTGCAACACCCAATGCTTGTTGCGTGTTCCATCCAATGATGTGCTCATCATACGCTTACGGTATTCCCTTCGATATGCTTCAACACTACTTCATCAGGTGAATTGACAAGTTTGGCGCTTAAAGTCCTGTCATGAAGTATGTCAAGAGTGCTCGTGCCCAAAGCCTTTCCAAAAGAACAGCGTTAAAATACCGTTGATGTTTCGACCATACTCACCGACGTGAAAGATCACGAAAAGATCATCAGCTTCTGCAACCGCCATCTAAGCAATCGAATGATATCCTTTGAAGTTATTTTAATAACTGTAGTAGGTTTTATACTTGAAAAACGTATACGCGTTTCTCCAGTGTGCGATTGAATGATTGAACCAAATACGATATACGTTTGATGCATGTCTCACCCTGACACATGCTCCACCAGAGTGGCCTAAAAGTAGCGCAGCTTCAGAAGCGTCATACATGCCTTTAACGGGATGAAGCAGGCTTCACCAACATGCGGTGCCTCCCCCAATTTTTTTAATGACTTTTTCGTCCGGAGAAACAAAACCGTTCCGTATCATGAAGTTTAAATCTGCAGCACATGTCAAAGCTGCTTTCTTTCGCGCATTCCCGGAAAATCTCATCTCATTTGAATTTAGCACATCTCACTCACTTATTGGTGTGGCAATGAGGAATAAGGAGCGACGTCAGACAAGGTTCAAGGTTCAAGGTTCAAGGTGGTTTAGTGGTATCAAGAGGCGATAACACCCATTTGGGTACCACGTGTGGAGGTCGAGCGTTCCTTAATTTTAGGGCAGGCCTACTCCTCTTGAAGCAAAATATTGTATTTTTTTGTGATTTTTTTTAAAAAGCATATCTTAGTTGCTTACTGCCTAGTCCCTTAAGTCAACATTGCCCCCCTTCTCGCTTGTCCATACAAACATCTAGTTTCTTCTTTAAAATAGTCACGGCGCGGGGCAGCCACTACGTCGTCGTCTAACGCATTCCACGCGTTCACCACTCTACAAGTAAAAAAGTCCTGTCTCGACCTGAGCCGCACCTGCGGTTTACGCAACTCGAGTTGATTGCCTCTCGTTCTCTTGCTACCATCGAACTGGAAGAACCTACCACACTCAGGGTCTTAAGGATCAGGCAATCGAAGCTTTCGACTGTCTCCGGCTATTTTTCAGCCAGAATGTTGAGCCTGAAACTTTTTAAACATGGAGTGCTATGCAGACCACGGCTAAAGAATCCTTGCGGAAAGCGCACGACTGCCAACCATTTGTGACTTTCTTTCCGATGAATACCCAGCGTTCGCAACTCGTCGATTTTTATTGCACCTACGTAAGGATACCCTTCTTGGAAGTTCATCCTTGTAAAATATGGCGAAGGACGACTTCCAAGATGTGTATGTACACATCTTGGAATACGTGCTTTGCAATACGATACACGCTCAGACTGTCGCACTTTTTCACGAATGGACAACTACATCCTTTTTTTGGCAATAAATGTTTAGGAGGGCTCTTCTTTCCTGGGGTAATGCGGAGAATTTCCTATAACGAACTTTCCTTATAAATAATTTTATTTTTAGCCTATTCCTACGAGTTCGTTACATCGAGCGTCGACCTGCAGCGAAAAGACAACAAGAACCTCGTCGCGTGAATGCTTCCCCCTTTCTATTCAGCGGAAGTGAATCGAATCCCAGAATTAAGTCACTGGCAGATAATACTAGAATTGAATGCTGCCTGACGAATACACACCAACATTCTGAATCACTTTACCGGGTTCCGCTATTTCATTTTT